TCACTGCATTTGACCTTGCAAGGCTTAACCGAGTGAGCAAAGTGGGTTTGGCAGCCCATGCGTAATGAAACTTCTCTTGGGACTTTGGGGTTATCAGGGTCACGGCTGAGTCTCTCCACCTCCGGATGGCCAGTCGCTGAATTACAGGCCTACAACCCACGGGTCGGCAGGGCCAGCCTTCTGGACGAGCAGAGGTCAAAGGGGAGGGGCATGATCCTTCTGCCCATCGAATCACCTCCACCCGGACCGTGCCACCCTCCGGGAGACAGGGCAGGGGCACCTGGTGGTAATCTCCTCCATCTGGGACTCCACGGGCATGCTGGAGGGCTGGGTGAGAGACCGGTCCTTCTTCTCTCTCGCATTTGGGTTGTGCCTGGTGGTAGAGGCGGGCAGACCTGTGGGGCAGCAGCATCCGCTGTCGGTGATGAGGCCTTGGCCCTGTGTTCACACTCTCCTTCTCCACCCCCGGCTATCTGCTTCCTGCTTTTCCGCTTGTTGAAACATTAGAATTCCTTCAAGGTGCCGGCAAGGCCTGCCTCCCCCGGGAAGCCCTCCCTGATACCTGCGCTGCATCCCCCTGGACACTGGCTGTGGCCTCTGCTATAGCCCCGACTTTGTACCAAGGTCGTTCCTCTAGTTCCTCTGTCCCTCTTTGCACTTTACAAGTTTCTGGAAAGCAGTGGGGCCTGAGGCCAGGCCTGCAGGCTGAGCCTGAGTCTAGGCAGTCACTTCATCTGATGCCCTGAAACCCTTGGGTCCCCAACTCTAGTGCCCATCCCGGCCAGCAGCTCCGTCCATACATACATACATACAGAGGGTCCAGGGTGGCTGGGCTCAGGGACCATGGCTGGGCTCAGAAAAAGGAATCAAAGCCCAGCTGGTGGGGAATTTGGGCACGATCAACAGCATCAGAAAACCTCTGTGCTGACAAGGCCCTCGGGCTGGATGGCCCTCGGGGTGATGGGGCTCAGGGGAAATCACCTGGCATCAGCAGACCTGGCTTTCACCCCCTGCTGTGTGGCCTCAGGTAAACCATCAACCTCTCTGAGCTGCTTTCCTCACCTGTAAAATGAGGACAATAGTTCTCTCGCCTCTAGTGAGGCCTGAGTGAATTCACACTTGTGGGTCGGACCACCTCCTCAGCACCCACGGCTCCCCTGACCTCACCTCCTATTCCCTCCCCTCACTTGCTCCAGCTTCAGGGCCTCCTTGTGGTTCCTCTAAAAGAGGGACCTCCAGCCGAGCTCCCAGCGGGTCTGTGTGCCTCGTCCCCTCCCACTCCCACCATCTCTGCCGGCCGCCCCACAGAAAGCAGCTGCTCCCTCCGACCACCTGCCCCCTTCCTCTGCCTCAAGCCACCGCACCTGCCTCCAGCTAACCTAGCTGCTAGGTCCTAGCATGTCTTTCACTGGTTTATCTGTTTCTCCTCTACCTTCTTCACTGGACTGAACTGTCCTGAGTGGCCAAACCCCAGAATCGGGGCCCCTCCCTTTACTGACTGGGGGCTGCCCTGCCCATGCCACAGGCCAGCGGGTGGCAGAGGCCACAGGGGCACTTTCTGCCCGGCAGCTGCCCCTCACTGGCCAGGATCAAGGCAGTGTGTTTAGCCCTCCTAGGCCGGGAGCCTGGCTGCTCGGCGGGAGGGGAGCTTCAGGCCCGGAGACACCACGTCCTTGGGGACCTGCTCCTGAGGGCCCAGGGGGTCAGCAAGGCTGAGGGCCAGGACCTTCCTCAGCCGGGGCCTCAGCAGCACCCGAAGGCCCGAGCCCTGGGCCCTGCTGGCGAGAGCAGCGAGAAGGGCTCACTCCCCTCTGTGTCTCCGTCCTGATCCCAGCTGGGCTGGCACCAAAGGTCTGAGTGTCCTGGGCTGGGGGGACCGGG